TGCCCCTGTTGCTCTAGTTGCTGTCTGCACACTACTGCTGTTGATGTTTGGAAAACCAARTTCCCTTATTATTTCCTTAGATATTCGGTTGAAATGTTCTAGTCTTAGGTCTCGAGAAATTCGTCCTGATAAGCCACCTTTTGTGGATACAAATCTATTCCATGTCAAACGACGACTCTGCTTGGGTGTGAGCAATGCGAGACGGGCTGCACTGAGGCGCTAGCCAGCTAATGCATATTTTGTGTTCCCACAGAGCCTGAACAAAAAAGTTAAAAACTTCCACACACGGCACATTCTTTCTCCATCTCCTTCTTTGACTGCATCGTCTGCATTCCGCAGCATCAACCCAAGGGTTAGTCGCAAACATCCGTAATTGAAGATGTGGTCATCTGTTTTCGCCTTTGTTTTTTCTTCACCTTTCTCCTCTTCCTTCTCCTCTTCAATCTCCTCTTCAATCTCCTCTTCAATCTCCTCTTCAATCTCCTCTTCAATCTCCTCTTTATCCAGGTCTACAGGTTCTAGATCTGTTTCTTCCTCAATGCCATGAACTTTCTTTTCGTGATTTTTCTTGCATTTTGGATATTTAAACACTCTTGCACAACCAGAGCATGAACATGGGAGGTCTGGCCTCAGTCTTGGTTGACTAATTCTAACACATTCTTCAGCTGCTTCAGATACTTCATTTATGCTATCCATGACATAAAGATCAAGCATTTTTACAACATTATTGTGAAGCCACTTTCTCTTCACTTCTTTGGTGCTTTTTTTAAGATAAGGTGGAATTGCGTTTTTGGATGGGATAGAGGTGGCAGTGCTCATACCAAAATATTCCATTGATGCTGCTGCTATAAAAGCATTTGTTTCTGTGTTGGAGAACTCTTTTACTTCATTGAAATTGTCAAGAACATTCTTAAGGGCATTGTTGTTTCCAGAATCAACAGCATTTGATGTGTAGCTTCCACTATCTCCAATTGAGTTTGGTTTGTTCAGTAACTTCAATGCAGCCTGAAATAATAAAATCAAGCTATTTTTTAGAAAGCAAATAACATATCAATGCATCAGTAATTTTTGTAGTCATATGATTAATTGATTGATTCTTATTGACTACTTTTAAAATTCGAGTGCATGTAGGATTACCCTCAGAAGAGAAGTCAAGCCTGCTTGTACTGGAGTTTTAACAATCATGAATAGTCACAGATAAGCACAACAATGTGTTTGGACCAATATATCATAATATGTATCCATAGTACCAGCCTRGCAAAGAGCTGTTTATAAAAGATTGTTCTTAAAATAAAACCGTTGCAAATTCATGTACTTTTTGGCTGAGTGATCGAGGAGACATAGAAAAGCCCAGGTTTTGTAGAGTTCTAAGGGCCTGAAATTGAATTATAATTCCAGCTTAATAGAGTAGTTAAAGAAATAATTATTGTTATTCTGCGGGGGGGGAGGAAATCCAAAAGGACAGAAATGCCTATTGGAAGTTCCTAAAATGACCCCTGAAAGGTATCCAAATTTATCCCCTGGTGGAAGTAGCACCATTCCTTCTTTTTCTTGATTTAAATAAGATAATATCTATAGGTTTTGCTAGTGGAAAGATTACCCCCAAAAATGCATAACCATTTTAGTTTCTCTATAAAGTTTGAATTTTTTAAGACCCAAAGGTACCAAGTCACTGGCTTTGACCCTTAAAAGTTACAATGCACTCCATACAGCAATAATCTACAGGTTGCGGATACAGTAGGGGTGACTTGGGTTCGTTCAACTTACCATGTTTCCAGCACCAGCGAATCTTGCAATCAGCCCATTCCTGTAAGCCAATGCACATAATGATGGCCGTCTTGATCGCAAAACTATAGCTGCTGCTACCGTTGCACTCACAGCACCAGAACTTCCCCTTTCTTCTCTTTCTGTCGTGTTTGTTTTCTTCTCATGCTTTGAAGTTGACAGCCGAATAAACATTTCACTGGCGATAGGAGTTCTTTGCTTTAGTTCCGTGGTTAGATTCTCTAATCTAAAGTCAATTATTCCTTGAGGCGTACTATTTGCTAAAACACTCGGTTCCTTTGTCCCGCATAAAGAGCTGAATTCTTCTTCCATCGACTGAAAAATTAAATCTTTAACAATATTCTTGCATTCGTCGTTCTTTATCATAGTTTTACAAGCAAGTTTTTTCAGTCCCAAGGCAATATATTTTACTATCTCTGCATCAACAGGTTCCTTCAAATCTACGTTACTTGAACCAGAAGGATACTGTATTTGAACCTATTTGTAAAATCATACGAGCATGTTAATTACAGTAAGACGAAGAAAATGCTGTCTATGCAATTTTTCTCACCTTTACTTCAGTTGACTCAGATGTGCTGCAACTGCTGCTTTGATTTGGTGTATTCTCTTTGATTCAATGCATTTCAGGAGCACTTCCATTTTTCCTAGGTCGTTGAAGAGCAAAGTTTATTGTAGGCAAGTTTTCTTTCTCAGATAATTCGAAGTTGGCAGGACTAGGACGATGATGTGATTCTGGGAAGCATTCATTTGAGTTCAGATCATTGATCTCAAAGGACATTGTCGAGATTGCTATTGTCAGTCTCTTGTAAGGGACATACCCTAGATCATTTTCGTCAAAACTACTGTCTGTTATACAAAAGTGTTTGAATACCCTTTTGTCAGGGCTTTGAGAATTTCTGCTCGTGGGGCTGTAAACTAAACGCTTCACACGTGCCGCTCTGCTGTGTTGATATCTAAGTTTCAAAACTTGGGAAGCGGATTTATTTTTTTTTTTTTTAAACATTTTTATTAATCATTAAACAAATAAATTAATTACAAGTACATAAATTTACTAGGTTTTTTCCTTAATTTTAAAATACTACCTTTTTCTCTCGCTTTATACAATGACATCTTATATATCAAAATTATAAAATTGATTGTAATATCGTTTACTCCTAATATTTTAGATATTATTTAATATTTTGTACTGAAACATACGTAGATACGTATCCATTGAAGTATTATATATCCTATTATAAATATCATTCCAATTTAAGGGTTGATCTTGTACCATTCCTGCGCTTAAATGTTTTTGTGATGTAGGGGGAACGAATTTCATTTTAACAATTTCTGTGTAAATTTTATGTGTTTTAAGTTTTGCTTGGTGTACAAATTTGTTGTTGATTTTCAAACAGTCGTTTAGATTTTCATACTTTTCCGAGACATCTGTATTTTTTAAATACATTTTCCAACTATTAGGCAAAGAGTGAATTATTCCAACCCATCGTATATAATCCCTATTTTTTAGACCAATTGATTTTGCGTATATCCACTTAAATTCTCCATTGAGATCACAGAGATCTTCAATTTCAGTGATTTTTAAATTTGAAAAGTCCTTATAGTATATTGAACTATCACCTATTCGGATGTATCTATTATTCCATAAATGTTGCCATTGCCATAAATGTCAGATCTTTGCTGGGATCGGTATTTGGGTATTTGCCCAGGGTAGTAATAATTCTTTATAAACTTTAGGTAAACTTTCTGGAATTCTCAAGGGATCGAAATTTATTTGAATCTGATTAAGACCACCTAATTGTTCTAAATAAAAGGACGGTATTATAGAGGACCCTTTATGTTGTTCGTTATTGCATTTCAACTGTATCATCTGTTTTATTTGGAATGCTTTTAACTGGCTTTCAAAATCTGGGAGTTTGACTCCTCCCAAGGAGGTATCGCCAATAAGTGTATTATATTTTATTTTTGGTTTCTTTCCATTCCATACGAAATCTTTAAGGGTATTTTCCACATTTTTTATAAAATCTTTTGGAGTATAAACTTTAGTGCATGTGTAATATAAGTTGGGAAGTGCCAGCGATTTTAATATTTGAATTTTGCCAAAAATTGTTAAATTTCTTGACTTCCAAATAGACAGTGTTGTGGTAAAATTTATTAAAATCCTATTCAAATTGTTATCAAAGAAAAATTTGTCGTATTTCCACAGGCAGCCCATCCGATTTAGTGATTGAAAACACAGGACCATTTGACCATTTTCCTTTTCTTCCTCCTTCTCTGGATGAAATAATAAGCTAGAACTATTAGCTATCAAGGTATCCGGCTAACAATAGCTTAGCTACCCGGCTACACGCTATAAAATTTCATTCACTCATAGTTTTAGTTTTAGAGGAGGAGAGGAGGATTAGAGGAGAGGAGGAGGAGGAGGAAGGGAGGAGAGGAGGGGTTAATAGCTATTGATAGCCAAGAAGCTAAGCTATTGATAGCCTGATAGCTAAGCTATCGATAGCCTGATAGCTAAGCTATTGATAGCCTGATAGCCTGATAGCTAACCTATTGGTAGCCTGATAGCAGGAGATGAGGTAATCTTACATCGACTTCTCATCGACCTCTCATTGACTCTCAATCATAGAAAAAATAAGCAAATATAAAATTATTATGTAATCAGTTATTAATTTTGGTATTTCAAATGGTCCTGTGTTTTCAATCACTAAATCGGATGGGCTGCCTGTGGAAATACGAATTGGCCATGGGCTTCCCGTGTTTTTCAATAACTAAATCGGATATGGGCTTCCTGTAGATTTGTGCATTCATAAAATTGCTTCGATGCCGTGTCTTATTTATCACGTGACAAAAAATGATTGAAGGAAAGAGATATGACAGCATTAATAAGCTTGAATGCCAAGGGAACTCAGAATCATYGTACTATGGTCCAGTATGAAATAGAACGATTGCGGTTTATATAATAAAGAACAAGATAACAGAACTAATCATTTTCAGCTGATTTTTGCATAATTAGGAAGAACTTAGTAGGTCTTATTGTTTATCGTTTATGAGTCATTAAGTGCATTGTGTTGGATGCAAAAGTCAGCAAATACTCGAAGTATTTCTTGAGTTTGATGAGTTTGGAAGATTTACACTTGGTTGATTGCTGAACTTTGGTGTTTGCTTTTAAAAGAATTATGGAAGGATGTTATCATGAATTTGCTCAACACATAATATTGTTTCAAAAAACTTTTATTTTCATTAGTCTTTTGAATTCATTGACGGTAGCGTAATACTCGTAATACTCCTCGAGAGCCTAACTGGAATAACGTAGCAATTGCGTTTCTCAAAAGTAAATTTTTAGGTCTTGCCTGCTTGGTTGGTTGGTTGAGTTTTGGAATAAAAAATTCAAAATCCCCGCGCTCTATAAATTGGATTGCTAAACAAAAGACTTGCACAAACTTGCATAACAATACCTACCCGTCGTTTTATGGTAATATTTAATGAATAAGTAAGGTTCCCCGTCCTTCCCCGTCCTTCCCCGTCCTTCCCCGTCCTTCCCCGTCCCCTTCCCCGTCCAAAAAAGGGCTCGTGCTGCCCCTACCCTACTACTTATGTCTCTGCCAAGAACGAACGTGGCCTATTAACCATTATGCTGAACGAAAATTAGCAATCCCTGTTTCAGATAATTTCATCTAATATTGATTTTCCGTAACTTGTTTTCTGTCGTTTGGTTTCTTCATGAAGCGAGCAAGTTATATCTGTCTTTTCTTCTTCAATAGTTTGATTGCATTTCTCAGTTATATTTCTTTTTGGAGATCTCTTCAAAAGCTCATCTTCAAAAAATGACTTGTGTTGTTTCATGGAAGTATCGCTTGCATTCTCAGCAGTTTCTTCTTCACTAGGAAGTTCTCGGCTGTATTTGTAAGAAGATAACACACTCAACTATTATCAGTAATTTATAATAACTTTATTTGCAAACAAATAATAACTAATAGAAAAAAAGTTGCAAAAAGGGTGCTGCCAGTGAAGAACTGAATCCTCATATATAGTAATCATGCAATCGATAACATTGAGGAAAATACTGGGTTGAGTTTACATTACAGTGCATCGATCGAATTTCAACATATGGTGCAAATAATGTTGTTGTTGTTTTTTTTTACTGCTGTTGTTAGATCTTGTTAGGTAGAGGTCCAAAAGGGGGGTCCTAATCCCAATTCCCAAACCCCATTTTGACCAAATCCCATATTCCAAGCTTGTTTTCTTGAAATCTCAATCTCAATCCCATTCCCAATTTTTGGTTGTTTCAGAACCCTCTTTTTATTACTATTATTTTGAAAGGGTACACTTTATGTGGAGCCAGGCTCTGTTGTGACACCCTCACCAACACTATCATATTATTATTATTCATCATTTCATTTTTTTTTTT